ACGGCGAACTCGAACGCGAACGCGCGGTTCTAGCCGAGCAGAAAACAAAGTTCGAACTTGTTCGGGCCGAATCCTTTAGAGTTCCCGCACCGTATAGATTTACCAAAAAGTCCGTCGTTCCGCGAGGTAGAACCCGATGGCGGACGGCTCGGTCGGACGTCCACGAACCGCGAGGATTTTACGCGCCGGCCGTGGCTGGAACGTCGTCTTCCGGACGCGCGGAAACCTGCCGGCAGGGTTTACTCGCGATCGACGCGGATCGGTCGATCGATCGATCGCGGCGTCGCGTCGCGCCGGGTAGCGGCTGGTCGTCCTCGCTCGGACGCGACCGGCAACCGACGGCGCGGTAATACCGAAACGTACGATCGAGACGAACCGTCGCTCGTTCGAACGAAACCAACGAAGCCGACGAGAATTCTTCGACGAGAAGCTTCGACGGAATTTACCGAGGACGCGCGAAGCTTGCTCTCGATCGGACAGCACCGAAATTCGTTGCGCGAAAGCGTTCGACGAAAAGTGGCGACGAGTAAGCCGCGAGGAATTCGCGTTTCGGAACTCGGAACTCTAAACTTCGAACTCGGACGGAAGAGCGCAAAATGTCCCGTCCGCGTTGCCGCGTCTGCTTTCGTCCGACACGCTTTCGATGCTCCGCCGTCGAACCGGACACGCGACGATAATACGCGATACGATGATACGCGATGATACGTAACGATAACAACGATGCGTAGATTCTGCTACGTACACGGTATCGAATACCTTGAGTCTGGCCGCGCGAACTCGTTGAAACGATCGATAAAATCGTGCTGTATCTCGACGAAGGTATCCGAGAGACACGGCGCGAAACGTCGACGTCGACTGGTCCGAAGAACGCGAAGCGACAGTTCGATTCGGGGTAACGCGACGCGACGATCGGGACCTGGAGCAGCGAACTGGCGCCGCGCCGCGCCGTGGGCTGTTTAATTTTAGGGCATTACGCGTGCAGGCGGCAGCCTGGTCGAGGCTAAAGGGTTCCCCGAGTCGGTATTTGTCGAGATATTATCGTGAAAAAGGAAAGGGGAGAAGCCCTGGGTAACAAGGGGGGCGTGACTCTTCCTCGGAGCCTCGGAGCCTCGGAGCCTCGGAGCCTCGCAGTCGGGGTTCCGAGATGCCTCCGACACCGTTTCGCGAATTAGCCTCGTCCCTCGGCATCGTCTCGGTTCTCGATGGAGCCGACCGTTCGCTTTTAATAAACTAAAAGCTATATTTTTAGAGGAGAAACGTTACGTTCGACGAACGATTTGTCGCGGCGACGACTACGAAAACGACGAGTCGTTTTTCAACGGAGCGCTGTAATTGTAACTGTAACTACAGGTTCGGAAAAAAAAAACTTATTCGACGATTTCGATCGCCGGACGTTTTCTTTCTCCGCTAAGCCGAGCGCCGCGACTACGATAGTTGCATATATTTCTTAATCGCGAGCGAAACCTTCCATTTGTTCGGGTCCGATCGTTTCCGATTCGAGAATTCGCGGTCGGGCAACGGCGGAAGTTGCGACGCGACGCTCGGTCTTCCGCGACGACCCCGGTGCGCTCGCGTAATTCTCAGTCGCGGTCGGCGATAATCGACGAAGCCGCTACCTCGGCCGTTCGGTCGCGCGTCGAAGGTCCGACTTCGACTACCGGAGCGGTGCTCGAATTGCTCGTCGTTTTTGCCGGGAACGGCCGCCGACGGCACGCGCAACCGGCGCGCCGGGTGGTTCGCGCGCGTCGATCGTTGCGCCGGTCCCGTTTCGGAGCCGCGCCGGTCGATCGACGGAAGGCGTTCCACGAGATAGCGGCGATACGATAAACTAATTTCTATACGGCGGCTAATTCGATCGGCCGAATAACAGAGTTCGAAAGAAACGCGCGATTAAATTACCAAATTACACGTCGGATCTCGTGTCGTCGATAAACGAATCGATAGCTCGCGGTAAAGCGTACGATAATCGTTGAGACGAGGCGAGATTGTAAAACCGTGTAATACGCGCACGTTCGAGTAACGCCAACGCATCGATATTTTACGAACGTAACTGGTAAACTGTTCTATCGACGAGAACGATCGCGGTATCGAGCGCGACCGCGTTCGTCTCGTTGGGCGTAGGACGTTGATGGAGCACGGAACGTCGAAGGAAAATCGATATCAGCCTTTCCCACGGAATAATTTGTAGCTGTTCGTTGGCGCGGCGGATTTCCCTCGCGGTCGCCGGTCGATACCGATACCGATATCGACGCGACTAATTTCGAGCAAGCAGCGCGTGCGCGTAATGATTCTACTTCCCCGAGAATATCGATATCAAGAGACGCGCCGCTGAAAGTTTCGCGCGCTCGCAATTAGTAGCCGGAGCACGTACGAGATATAAGTTCGATATCGCGTTCGCGCGCGGAATCACCGGATTATTATCGACTCGGAGCGATCGAGGCGCGAAGCGTGCCCGCCGCTCCGTGCGTCGAATTTATAATGGTTCGCGATCTCGCGGCCGTGCTCCTCGCGACGGACGAGATTCGCGGATCGCGCCTTCGACCCGTTTCTTTTCACGGCGGTAATCGTAATCGAGAACGTCGCCTGCCTCGCGATTCGACGCGTTGCCGTGTGCAAAACGGACGGCGCGATTCGACGGTAATCTCGCTTTAAACCAAACCTTTGTCAACCTTCTCCGTCTCCGTCTCCGTCTCCGGCTCCAAGCTGCAACTTTGAAATCGCGTACAGATTTATTTTGTATATACGTGCACCGATTGCACGATACCGATGTATTTCCAAGTTCGAGATACGACCGTACACGATCGTATATCCGGAGGTGTCGAGTTCCTGCGTTCGCTGTCGGATTACGAAGGGTCGAATCTATAAATTTTCAAGACGAACGTTCGACGATCCGAATCGTCGAGTCCGAACCGTCGACGTTTCGATGGAACGTTCGCGCCTGGGTTCGTAGGTGGCAAGCTTCGAAAGACGAATAAATTTCCACGAGTCTGCACAGTGGACGCGGTTGGTTTCGAATACGCGCGACGAGAACGTTTACGGCGCGTTAGGATTTGCTCGGCGAGAAGGATGTACCGTCGACGGTGTATTACGCGTAACGCGCAACACCATCGATCCTCCGACCCGGCGGCGGTTGTAGAACGCCGCTTCGAATCGGCTAAAACGATAATCTCGCGCGATAAATTCAACCGAATCGATCGTTAAGAGCTTTATCTAGGAAAGATCGACCGGATCGAGGGCTACTCCGACGGAAGCCTAATCCCGATGCGAGTCTCGCGCCGGCTGAAAGTCTCCGATTTCTCGGTTTATACCGGCGTTAAATCTTCCACCGGATAACACGGTGTTTGCGACTCGGTACTCGGGGACACCGCGAACGAATGAAATTTACAGGTAGCGTAAATTCTGGGGTGGACGCGTCCGTTCTCGGAACAAGACCGCGCAATCGAAGCGGTTGGGTCAGCGATCGGGAGAACCGAGGTGCCGAAACGAGTCTTGAACGAGTTCGAAAGACGAGATAAGGACTCTGTAATATGCTCGGCGAGACGAATCGCGTCGCGTTCAAATGGTGGAGAGGCCTCGGAGGTTCGCCGTATTTTACGGCTCGTTTCGTTGCTCTTTATCGTCCGATCCTCGCAACGACGTTCCATCGTCGAGTCTCGACTACCGGTCGTCGCTCGGACACCCGGGATTTCCGAAAGTTATTCGCGGCTTCCGCTCGATCGCGCGCGTTATGCCCGTCGGCGAAGAAAAACGAAGTCGGCGCGCCGCGAAGCTCCGGAATCCGAGGACCGAGAACGGTGGACGCGGTCGTCGATCGTGGATCTTCGATGGCTATCGTCGCGAAGCTACCGTCGAGAATGCGAACCGTTCTTCGACCGTCGTGAGACGGTCTTCTCGAGAACGGAGATCGCGTGGTCGCGTATAAAATTTCGCGATCCGAAGTAATCGCGATAACATTTTTGTCGAGATTATATTCGGGTCTCTTTCGTCGGTCGTCGGACGTCGGTCGTCGGACGACCGGTATCGCCGCGACCGCGCGCATAGAACCCCGCGATCGGTTCCAAGATCGAGATAAGCGGCTCGCGAAGAAATAAGTAGTTCAAGCCTGTTCGCGTGGCCGGAGATTGGTCCGGTCTGGCGTCGCTTCGCGCCGAGAGGTGGGGATGTTTTATGCACGGAGCCCGCGTCGCGCATCGTTTCAGGTGGATCTCGAACAGAACCCGTCGAACTCTGGTTCCGTGCGAGGGATCGGGCTTACGGCCGACCGAGAAACGATATTTCGCGAGCAACCTCGATTTCGAATCGATCGTCTCGAAATCGAAACCGTCCATTTCGTAATACAGTGTAACGATTCCGTGACGCGGATCGTTCGAAATTGGTGGAAAATCTGTGTCGGTGTCGCGTTCCAAGGTGTCGCATACTTTTTTCCACGGTAGCTCCGCAGCGGCGCTTCGGCGACTGCTTTGGACGCGGTTTCGCGTTCCAAAAATACTATTTCGTTTCGTCGAACCGAACGTCGAAAGTTCGGAGACGAAAGCGAAACGTGGTCGCGTTCCTAAATATCGTTCGACGAACTCGCCGCGCGTCTCTCGGGCGATATCGCGACGACGCGGAGCGAAGTCGTTCGTTCGGACGACGGCCGAATCGACTCGGCCGGTCGCTCGCGCGGCCAGCACCTCGACGTTCGAATACTCGAGATTCGAGAAGAAGCGTTCGACCCGGCTTTGGGGAAAGATACGCGGAGGCGGAGGACCGTGGAACGCGCGTTGCGGAAAGTACGAGCGAACTTTCCCAAAAGGCGAGGGATCGCGCGACGATCTCCGGTATCGGGGATGTTGCGTGGAAACGGCCTGGTGGGGGAACCGTCGAGGGAGAGTGGGGGCGTGCGTTACGCAGGAATTAGGGTTCCGCGCGGCGGCAAGGAGCCGGCACTCCGGCGCGTCGAGAATCGGCCGGCGGCAGCAGCGCGAGCACGGTGGCGAGCACTGGCACGAGTACGAGCACGAGCACGAGCACGAGAGTACGCACGGTTCCGCCGCTACGGAGAAGCCTAGCCGCTCTCGGTCGGAGCAGTCCGCGGCGATTTTGGGCCCTCACGGTGTTCCCGGATGGCCATGCGTCGCCTCGACGATCCAGTCGACGCCAGGCCGAAACAGACAGCCGTCGAGTTCGCGGGAATCGCCAGCCACCGTCGGAGTCCTCGAAGCGGAAGCGAAATCATCGAACTCCTCGACGACGGTACCATCTCGGAGAAGAAAGCGGAACGGCGAAGCCGCCGCCGCGCGACTCGCCTTCGGACAGTGTGCGCGGGACGTCGAAAGGATCGCCTCGGAATCGTCGATCGATCGGACGATCGATAGAGGGGTCGCGTTCGTCGGAGAGGACGGATTTGACGAGTCCGTCGAGGTTCTAGCGCGACGCGCGTCCCATTCGCAGTCGCGGTCGCAGTCGCCTCGCACGCACGCACGCACCTAAACTCGTCCGTACTCGCGTACGGTCCACCTATCGCTCCGCGACCACGGCTCGACCGAGTCAGTGTTACTCTTGATTTCCGCGCGAGCGCCAGCTCCGGCCCAGCCGGGACGATACCACCGATCCGCCGCGTCTCGAACGATCGACGTCGACGTCTTCGGGACAGGGATTCGTCTCGCTCGTGGATCCGCTTCGCCAGCACCGCCCCAGTTCGCGACAAGGACTCCGGCCGAGGACCTTCGAGATCCGAGGATTCTCGCGAAGCTGCCGCGACGCGGCTGTCTCGTCGTCGAGGAGGTTCGATCGATCTGTGTTTTCGGACGGCCGCGAGTGAATCTCTTCGCGTGAACTTTAACGCGCCGAGTAGATATATATATATATATACATATATACGAGATAAACCGTTATCGAGGCGAGCGTGTATCGCGATCTGTATCGATCCGATAAACGTAATTCTCCAGATGTGTTAACGATCCGACAAGGAACGCCGAAGTAGCTCGGCGCGCTTCTTCGTTTTCCTCTTCGTAGTTTCCACGAGCTTTCGTTATCGCGGACACGTGCGTCGCCTTGAACAATTGGAAACCGCGCGTTATTTTCCACGGAGCGCGAGGTGTGTCGGCGACCGTTTCTCTCGGTCCGCCGCGCCGTCGCGGTGCCGTCGCGAGGAGAACGAGAACATCGATTTGGAATGTTCGCGTGGACGACGGAAATCGCGAGTCGCGGGTGGCGATTTCTCGAAGAAGCGAGCGAAAAGGTTTCGTCGCGACGCCAGCATCGACGCCCGTTCGCCGACGGAAGGCGCAACCTCTCGTTGTCGGAACGAGCGAAGCCGAGCAGCTACCCGAACGGGAACCGCGCGCCCGTTACATAACTCGAGGGTCCGATCATTCGAGGGCGGTGCGCGAAGACGCGGCCGCGCCGCCAATTCGCGATCCTCTCGATCCGGACGCCGGGAAAAGGATTTCGATAAATTTCGCAACTTACGAGCGTTTCGTCGGCGAGATTCGAATAAACGACGGAAAAAGAGGAAAGAAGCTCGTTACGGGTTCTGGGATCCGACGGATTCTCGAAACCGGGCCGCGAGGACCAAAGGGGACCGGTCGTCCCGCCGCGACTCGCTCGGTGGCCGCCGAGCGAACGCGTAAAACGATCGTCGTTATCGGCGTTGCGCACCTCGCGGATAACGCCGCGAGGAGAGGACCGAACGAGAGAGAGAGAGAGAGAGAGAGAGAGAGAATCGTCGTCGATCCCGAACGTCGAAAATTACCGCCGCCTCTCTTGCCGGGAAATTCCACCGGCGCCCGGGGGTGGTGGAACGGCCGGTACGCGCCGGGACAAGGACCGTCGGAAGGAAGCGGACGTTGCGCGCGTAGCACCGACGTCTCGGGGCGTCATACTCGTCTCGGCAGTAATGCGCGCAAATTATGCGGTTCCACGGAGCAATGGCCAGTGAGCAGCGGGCACCGGTCGCGCGTTCACGCTCGCGGATAGTCCGGCGTCCACCGATCCTCGTGTCCCACCCCCCTCGCTCCTCCTCTTCCCCTTCGTATTCTTTGGACGGTTCGCCACGCCGCGCTTTCTCGGCCCTCTCTCCCCGCTCGCCGTTCCTAGGCCAGACGCCGGCCGTCCCGTTCCCTCTCTCGCGGCGCCGTTAAAGAAACGATATCCCGTCCGTTCCGAACACACCGCGCGCTTTCGGCGTCGTTTATTCGTGAAATTCGCTCGGCGTCCATGCGCGCGCTCCGCGCGCAGTTTCGTTCTACGCGACGCGTCGTACCGTGCCTCGTCTCGCGACGCGCGAATCGCGACTCTCGTCCTGCGGCCGGGCAAGGTGCGAACCGCTGCGAACGCCCCCTCCCGCGCTCTTCGCCGCCTTCCGCGAACACGTCCTGTCGCGCTCGCGGTCGTGAACGACATCTTTCGACGAACTTCCGAGGAACCGGATTCGCCCGGCTCCCTTCGTCTCGCCTGCTCGCTGCACGCTGCTCGCGATCGGAGGGCGAGGAACGATTCGCGCGACCTGCGAGACAGCTCCGCCGATAGCGGGTCGGGGAGAGCGAGAATGACAAACTCGATCACCCCGCGTGGTGTTTCGAGCAAGTGGGCGAGACCGATCCCGTTTCATCCGGTGCGGACGTCGAGCTAGACGGGCCCCGGAGCTTTCGGATGTTTTCTACGACGGACGCGACCGCAGCGACGCGTCCGTTCCGCCGATCGTCGGAGATACGAGATACGCGCGCGACGCTGTCGTCGCATTCACGGTCACCGGTGAAAATAGGCGGGTACCGTTAGTCCGGGTTCGGTTCTAGTTTGTCTCGAAAAGTGGACAGGCGTGCGTCGCGAGTGCAATTCCTTGGGATTTCGAGGACCGTGAGCGCGCGCGCGCGACTGCTCTCGGAAGCGCAGGGTACGCGTTACGAGATCGAACGGCCTATCGGGCGCCGTCGTCGAAACCGACGACTCGACGCACGCTCGGGGTGGACCTTGGAGATCGCAACCGTTGGTTCGGTCTTCGTTTATGGAATTTGAAAAACATCGGCCGTGGTGCTCGACGCGCGTCGATGATAATTGTGAAAATTGTTCAGTGACGGAAGACCTCCCGCATCGTCGTGTCAAGGATAACTCGCGCTATCTTCGCTTACCAAACTCTCTACGAATGCTACCCGCCGAACTTCGTACGACGCTCGTTTTGGTAAGTACCCGACACGCTGTCGCATCCTTTTTTCGTACGATGGAAAATGTCCCTTGGAAATAGGAGAATTCGGTCGGCGACTCGCCGTCGGTTCTCGTCGATTCGATCGGAACGGTCGATAGATTCGAACGCGAATACGCGACGCTTCCGTCGTACGCGTACTTTCGAAAACAGAATATTTGTTTGCTGTTCGCGACGACGCGTTCGCGTCGCGACGCCGACTCCGAGACGAGGGATCGCGTTCGATGTAGGCGTCGAGCCGAAACAGTCGATACGCGTTTCCTGTCTCTGTTCGTACGGTGAAAAGAACATGTTACGAGTAAAAATTGTTGCAGCGATCGACGAACGAGACGATCGTATTATCTATAAAACTTCCGGTCTCGTCGATTCGATCGTGGACGAGCAATATTTTTCGTCGATCGCGAATCGCGTCTCGCGTCTCGCGTCTCGAGAAGCACGAACGAGTTCGAACAGGTTCGTTTGTACGCGCGGACCCGAAATCAAAATTTTGGCCACGCCGCGAATGCTCGACGGACGTCCCCGTTCGTTGACTCCGATTCGGAAATTTCGCCGAATTTCCGTTTCGCTCGATCGCGTCGCCGTGCCCGTAAATAATATCGATTTATGCCGTCCGTACAAAATTTCGCGAAATGTACGTATAAAATACGAAACGCGAGCGCACGACTTCGGATCGGTTTTTACTTCGCTCCTGTATTCTGTTCTACGTTCCACGTCGTCGCGATCTCGATGACTCGGCGTTCGGACTTCCGGTTTGAATTATTTAAGCCTTTAACCGATTCTGCTTCCGACAAGAAATTGGTACAGGTTTTAATAATGCATGCGCGCGCGTATCTGGTTCGGCGAACGGTCTCGAAATATTGACCGTACAATGGGTCAGATATTTACGAACTTCGAATTAAGAACCACGAACGCGTGTCGTTGCTCGCTGCCGATCGAATATCTCCGCAGGATCGCGAACGTTTCTTCGTTATCCGACGAATGTGCGCGCGCGCATAATCTTTCGGACCGTGCTTGTACCGATCGATGCGAATCTACAAGAAAGTTTGATCGCAAAAAATATTTTGTACATTCTATACGATAAAAGATGTATATTTGCAAACACGAGGTCACGTTCGATTCGGATCGTTCGTTAACGTCGACCCGAAGAGACTGAAACATTTGCAGGAAAAATACGAACGATGGAAAACGTGAAATGCGAAAAATCCCACCTAAAAGCGATAAGCGAAAAGATGGCAAATTTTCGATCGACTTTGCACAAGTTTGTACTCTCTCTCGGGCTTACCATTGTCCGGTACCAAGTTTGCCGGATCGTCGTCCATAAATTTTCCAGCAAGGTTAGCATTTCCCTCGACTATCCGCAAAGAGACGAGTATCCTTTCGCGCGACACTCGCGCGTCGCTTCGTCGATTAAACGTTATTACTCTACTTACGATGCCGCCACGCGGCAATATTACCATGAATTACCATATACGATAAGAGCGACGTTGGCAGTCCGCGAGTACTTTAAACGTATCCAAAGGTATTCGATCGTTGCGTGCCGCGTTGCGAAATCGTCTCGCGCGGAGCACGCGCGACGAGACCGCGACTCGCGCGGGGGCCCCCGTTCGACGCGCTACGATTTAGCCACGAGCGGAATTCGATGGAACAAATTCCTGAATACGCGCGTTCGACGGCGATCTCGGAACCGGATCGACACGGTCCGCGCACCGACGAACTTGGACAAACAACGAGTACCGCGTTTATCGGGAGATAACTCCCGGTTCGAATATCATTCCGCGCGAACGTATTTTACGAACGAGAACTTTGCGCGTCGAAACGAGGCACGGCTTTTCGTCTATCGCGTACAGTTTCTTTGCGTTCGAAATTCTATACGAAACGATTTCAACGTTGTCTCAAGATTCATTCGATCCCGACACCGGCCGGAGCTGGAGCACGATCGAGTCCGGAATATGCGTCGACGTTTTAAAAGTCGTGGATATATTTGCAAGACTTTCCATGCCAATCCGTAGAAGAGCGAACATCGACCAACTTTTGTTGGAAACATTTTTTTTGCCAGATGATCGGAGACGTCTGGAAAATCGTGGTATGTTTTGAAATTCGATAGGAGCGTTCAGCGACGCGGACGAGCGCGCTTGCCGCATCGCCGCTCGACTCGACTCGACTCGATTGCCAGCGCTCGCCCAAGCGTCGAAATACGTGCACCTATTTGTTCAAATTATTCTACACGCGAAGGTTGCAAGAGATTGCACCGAAACTCGATATTCTCTTCTGGGCTATTGTTCAAACTTTGGTACAAAAATGGTCCCCGATGCTTGCATTCTTTACGGTAACGAGTTCGATTTTCCTCCTCCGGGTTATATTCGACGCTCGTTTTCAACGGTACTTGTATTAAACGCGGATGGTAACGTCGCGATCGATCGAAACGCCTCGATTAACGATTAACGATCGAAGAACGAATCGTTCGTTCGTTCGTGATGCTCGGTTGAAATTCTTCGGCACGGAGCTCTCAATAATCGCGACGGACGGTACGCTGAACGGTGAAGAGAAACGATCGGCGATATTTGGTCGAGCTGTATCTTGTTGGCGCGTCCAGCGACGCGCGAGGGGCGAACGAACGATTCGTCGGAGAGTTCGGTACACGCGCGGAGAGAACGCACGCGCGCAGAGTCCGATGATCGCGATCGTTCGTCGATATCGTTGGAGGAAACGATAAATTCGCGCGTAGAGTGCGGAGAAAGATGGAGAGGGAGAGAGAGAGAGAGAGAGAGAGAGAGAGAGCTGTCTCTTATACACCTCAGATGTGTATAAGAGACAGCGATAAATTCGCGCGTAGAGTGCGGAGAAAGATGGAGAGCTGTCTCTTATACACCTCAGATGTGTATAAGAGACAGCGATAAATTCGCGCGTAGAGTGCGGAGAAAGATGGAGAGCTGTCTCTTATACACCTCAGATGTGTATAAGAGACAGCGATAAATTCGCGCGTAGAGTGCGGAGAAAGATGGAGAGCTGTCTCTTATACACCTCAGATGTGTATAAGAGACAGCGATAAATTCGCGCGTAGAGTGCGGAGAAAGATGGAGAGCTGTCTCTTATACACCTCAGATGTGTATAAGAGACAGCGATAAATTCGCGCGTAGAGTGCGGAGAAAGATGGAGAGCTGTCTCTTATACACCTCAGATGTGTATAAGAGACAGCGATAAATTCGCGCGTAGAGTGCGGAGAAAGATGGAGAGCTGTCTCTTATACACCTCAGATGTGTATAAGAGACAGCGATAAATTCGCGCGTAGAGTGCGGAGAAAGATGGAGAGCTGTCTCTTATACACCTCAGATGTGTATAAGAGACAGCGATAAATTCGCGCGTAGAGTGCGGAGAAAGATGGAGAGCTGTCTCTTATACACCTCAGATGTGTATAAGAGACAGCGATAAATTCGCGCGTAGAGTGCGGAGAAAGATGGAGAGCTGTCTCTTATACACCTCAGATGTGTATAAGAGACAGCGATAAATTCGCGCGTAGAGTGCGGAGAAAGATGGAGAGCTGTCTCTTATACACCTCAGATGTGTATAAGAGACAGCGATAAATTCGCGCGTAGAGTGCGGAGAAAGATGGAGAGCTGTCTCTTATACACCTCAGATGTGTATAAGAGACAGCGATAAATTCGCGCGTAGAGTGCGGAGAAAGATGGAGAGCTGTCTCTTATACACCTCAGATGTGTATAAGAGACAGCGATAAATTCGCGCGTAGAGTGCGGAGAAAGATGGAGAGCTGTCTCTTATACACCTCAGATGTGTATAAGAGACAGCGATAAATTCGCGCGTAGAGTGCGGAGAAAGATGGAGAGCTGTCTCTTATACACCTCAGATGTGTATAAGAGACAGCGATAAATTCGCGCGTAGAGTGCGGAGAAAGATGGAGAGCTGTCTCTTATACACCTCAGATGTGTATAAGAGACAGCGATAAATTCGCGCGTAGAGTGCGGAGAAAGATGGAGAGCTGTCTCTTATACACCTCAGATGTGTATAAGAGACAGCGATAAATTCGCGCGTAGAGTGCGGAGAAAGATGGAGAGCTGTCTCTTATACACCTCAGATGTGTATAAGAGACAGGAGAGAGAGAGAGAGAGAGAGAGAGAGAGAAAGAGAGAGGGGGGGGATCGTAAGTGGCAGTAGATACCGTGGACCGGCGAGCGTGAAACGCGAGAGTGTAAATCGTAGTCTTACCGTTTCATCGGGACACGCCCCGTTAACTCGCGGGTTAAACGTCGATCCACGCCCATTTTTGGGCCGACCGACCCCAGATTTTCTACTCCTTTTTCCCCTCTTCGATTTCATCGGTTCTCCGTCCGTCTCCGTCGAACGTACGCGATATCCGGAAAGGTACATTGCGCGCGAGGGAGGCCGCGCGCACGACCTCCCGACGATCGCCGATCGGGTTAAGCAAACAGCGACCGGGTTCTCGCCTTTATCGCGATAATAGCTGTAATTTCGGCGGTCCTCGTTTCGTTCCGTTCCGTTCCTTTCGATTTGGCTCGTACGTACGCGCATCTCCTCGGATCACGGGCGCATCGTCGGCCGATCGCACGGCGCGGCTTCCTCGCGCGATCGCGATTTATTACGGGAACCCGTCCCACTCTCGGCATCCTTCGGCGATCGTCGTTTCGCGTCCGCGGGAAAGAGCGACCCTCGGCTTTATTTTCCACCGGCGAAGCACGAGCCCGAGAGAATTCGGCCGCGCCGCCTGCTCGGCGCGGTTAGAGCCGCTTATCGGACGATAGAAGAGATCGACGATCGAGAGTACGAAACTAAAAGATTCACCGTTCCCGGTTCAGCGACAACGTTTCTTATCGCGATAGTTTACGCGTCTGTAATTTCGTCGCGGGTTTCCTGGACGCGAAACGGCGGACGCGGCTCGGACAAGGTCCGGTGCCGGCACCGACTATCCGTCTCGTTCGACGTCCGTTCGTCTTCTTCTTCGCTCG